GAAAATGAAAAAGACTTCTACTATAACTGATCAAATCATATATCTAGCAATCTTCTTCTACTTATCTACTGTCATACAAATTATTTTACTGACGTTCTTTGTAAAATGTGTTGTTCTTACAAATACCGATGCTTTACCTTTCCCGTCACTCTAGCCATCTTCTTATTCTCTCTCTTTTTTTTTTTCTTTACAATAACCCTAAGCTTTGTACAAGGTAAGGTACAGATTCCATTAAATTCCAAATCTCCTCTATTGCCTTTATGATTCCCATGAAAGCTATCACTGTACGCTGACAAACAATTACATATCAGCATTAATTATAGTAATAGCCGTTTTCAGCGAGCTTACTCTTTTTTTTTTCTTTTTTTTTATGAATTATTCAAAGGACTTGCAAATTGAAATGAGCACTAAATACGTCTTCTTTCTTCTTCTCTGTCTTCTTCATCATCACATTCCTTTGTTTTTTTTTTCTCTGTCATTTTCACATCTTCTACGTCTTCATCTTTTTCTACTACTACTTCTTTATCTACTTCATCTTTGTTTTCTTCTTCTTCTTCTTCTTCTTCTTCTTCTTCTTCTTCTTCTTCTTCTTCTTCTTCTTCTTCTTCTTCTTCTTCTTCTTCTTCTTCTTCCTCCTCCTCCTCCTCCTCCTCGTTTCCTTTTTCTTTTCTTCACTCATCTTTCTTCTTTCTTCGTTCTTCTTCTTCGTCTTCTTGGCATTGAGATAAAAGGGACCAAATAAAATTAAAATACCGTTTACTTTTATTACCATCATTATCTACGGTATGTGCCCACGGTATAAACGCGAAAATGGGTGAAAGAAAAACGTAAATGGGTGAAAGAAAAACGTAATTGGCTGCTTGTCTCTAGGGACGTAGAATTGGCTGTCTGTCTCGAGGGTAATGCATGGTGTGTCATGGAGTGAAACGTAAATGGTTGCAGCATCTTAAGGGAAATGTTACTGGTTAAAAGTTTCGAAGATGATCTTTTGGAGAAAATGTGTTAATGCAG